TAATTAGAGCATCCTTCGTGCAGGTGGCTATGGTTAATGATCGCAGAGACGTTTTTACCTGAATTGCTTAATTACTCCTAATTGAGCATGGGGAGAGCAAGAAGCCTGCATCAGCTCCTGTGTTTTAGGACAGGTGGCACGAGCAGGTGCTGCAGACCCCTCCGTGATGCTCCTCGGGGCCAGCAGCAGCAAGGACCACGCTGCTCGCCCTTCTTGCCATGGCGTGAGGGGAATCTTTAGGGGCCAGCATTAATCTTTGCCATGTCTCACCGAGCAAGGGGCAGGAGCACTGCTCTGCTCACAGCTCTGTGCCCCAGGGGCTCTGCACAGCACCCAACAGGAGTATCGGTATCACAGCAGCCAGGAGGAATCACCCCGGTTCTCGCTTTAAATCAACAGAAAGTCAGCCCAAATCCTCCTTGTCTGTCCCCAAAAAGCAGAGCCCGAGGGCAGCGCTGCTGGGGCCAGGCAGATGAGGGGCAGCCCTCGGGCAGGGAGATCGTGGGGGGCCCGATGCCCAACTGCATCCAGTGGGGAGCCAAGGATGGGTGGGTGGGTGGATGGATGCTCCTTCACCTCTCAGGCTGCAGTCCGTGGAGCTCTGCTCTGCTAATTGACTTTACCTGCATTTCGGTGGGTGATTAGCTCCTATTATCTCTACCACGGGAGCGGTGAGGTTCCCAGTCACGGAGCAGGATGCTGCTCTGTTACCTAGCGTGTAAAAGCAGAGTGAAATCATCCCCCCGTGGCAGAATTAATCGCTGAAGTAGCTGCAGATGAGCTCAGAGCGATGCTTCGGAGGTGATGAAACTCACAAGGATTTTGGGGGCTGCTTACAGAAGATGCATTTTGCATTTGCAATGCTGCGGCCACGTGCCTAATTAGGGAGGTGCTGCTTCACCCGGCGGGGAACAGAGACGCATCCTGTGACCTCAGTGCCTTATCAAAGGGATTTACGTGATGAGAACAAACAAGTTAGAGAACATTACATTAGCTGGGAAAAAGAAAAAAAGAAATAAAAAAAAGGAAAGGTGCTGGAAAATGAAGAAGGAAAAACATGTTGTAGTGCAGGCATGACTGCAGGTAGGGAAAAAGCAGTGACAGCCCCCAGGAGTGGCTCCCCCACATCTGAAGGCACCTGGGAACCCCTCCACCGGGTCCTGCACCCAGAGCCGGGCAGCTCAGCTGCCAGGAGAGCCCACAGTCAGCGTCTGCAGCTCTGAATTCAGGAAAGAGAGAGACCTGGCCTGGCCACGCTCCTCTGTACTGGCGCAGAGACACTCCTTCCAGCAAGCCCTGCGGTATTTTTATCCCACGGTTTTAAATTTCGTGTTTATAGCCCTTGATTAGGTGCTGAAATCTTCTGGAGACGGCAATCCCTGCCCCAATGCCTGCCGTGCTTTTGATTGAGCCTCCGCTCGCTCCCAGATTAAAAATAACAAAATTCACTCTTCTATCAAGAGCTGCAAAAATCTTTGGCCCCGGTTCCTCTGTCGCTTATATAATCCGTGTGCTGAAGTGGGCCCAGTGCTTCCAACAGGGTTAACTCGCGGCTGCTGAAGGTGTACGTGGGAGCGAAACCAAACCTCCTGCACACGCAACCAGCGCTGCGACAGCTTGAACTTGTGCAGACGGCAGAGATGGAGTGAAAAGGGGCTGCAGCCTCCGAGTCTTAAAATTGCACTTGTCCTGCGGACCTTATTTAATTGAAGTGGGCTGAGATTTCCTACATTACAAATCCCCACCGCCTTCCTCACGCACTGACAATGAATGCTTCAGGACTGAATTACAGAGCTGCTTTGTCTGAACACAAGCAGTATTTCTCAGAAAGCAAGGAAACCGAGAGGTTTTTCTGCCCAGGCAGGGGTGGTTGGGGTGGGCTCTGCAGCAGACCCAGCACCGAAATGAGAACATTTTTAACCCGGGGGCTCCCCGCAGCACCCACGGCTGCTGCACCCTGGGGACACCGCACAGCACCCCCAACACCTCCCAGCAGCCGCCGATCCTATTCCAGCCCCGGCACCCCCGGAGCCCTGCTAACGCCCCACATCTCCCACCCAGCAGCACCTCGCCCTGTTCGAGCCTCGCGCAGCTTGTGGGCAGAAATGGTGTTTGCCTGCTAGAGCAATGCTGAGAAATGGATTTCTGTTTTAAATAGCCAGGGTCAGAATCGCATTTCTTTTGCCACAAGAGCTATTTGAAGCCAGGTGCAGTGGGAAGAGAGCCTGTAAAAGCTCCTAATGAGCACTCTCAAATCATGTGGTTAAAGGACTCGGAATAAGTGGCTGGAAGCAAAGTTTCTTTATCCTCCTCTCCCCCGGACTGGGCTGTGCAACTGTTGCTTCTGTGCTTTGTGGGAGTGAAATCAAATGTCAAATATTCTGCTTTGGAAGAAGTTGGCAATGAAACATGAAAGGCTCATGGAGAGCTCAAAAGGACTGCGGATAAATTGGAGAGAACACAGACAGGGCTGGGACAGGAGCCAGGGGGAGTGCGGCAGGACTGAGCACACAACCAGAGCTCCAGATTTTAGGATAAAGCAACCGCTTTCCCCAGCACAAAGCTGATCCTAGCTGGTGCTAGCATGGAAGGAAGACGGGCGTGATACCGAAATGACACGTATGCTTTGTGCTGGGAAGCATCTGCCTGCACATCGCAGCCCGGTGTGTGCCCGTGCGTAATCGCCGTCCACGCAGCGCATCGCATCCCTGCTGCCAAACACCCCACAGACACACAGAGCTCGGGACCCACTACTGAGGGGAGCACGTTGCCTTGCTGAATCTCACAAAAATACACCGTTTGTGAAAGCTATGTTTTGCCCCAGGCATATATCCTATTTCTTTCCCAGCAGATACTCAAAACGGCAGGCTCTGGACAATCCTCCCCCACCACGGGAACGCAGCGCTACGAACAGCTGCTCTGCGTGTCGTTCTGCTGTGGCAGGATTTCATTTTATTCCAGATTTCAAGCCTCCACAAGACATTTTTGCTGTGTATTTTCAGTCCTTCTACGGGCACTTCCCACTCTTTACAGCCTCACCATCCAGCAGACCTGTCTCCTTTTCTCGGGGCTGACCCCTTTTCAGTCACCGCGCTCCTTTACCATGTAGCACTTAGGGAAAAAAATACATCCCCCCCTCTGTTCTGCTGAACAATCACATTGCCGGGAGTAGGGCGGTGAGGGTCACGGGAGCTGACAAAATCCATATGTAACAGCGTGCTGGGGTTTCTGGAGGCAAAGCTCACAGCTCCACCAGGGCAAAGGGCTGGGGACCGGGAGCACCAGCCCCGTGCCAGGAGCCTCCCCCCGGGCACAGCTGTGCCAGGGCCGTGGCTTGAGGTGGAACTGGTGTTCCAGGAGTATTCTATTCTTTGCTAAGTCTCTTCGCATCTTTTTGTTTAACAATTACACAAATTAGCACTTTGGTGCATATTAAGATTCTCGCGCCTCATAAAGGATGAGCTGGAGGTGCTCCCGCTGGATTTTCCTCAGGAACTGTTTTGGATGCGTGTTGGATCGCCTCCTCCCCGGTACGAGCACCAGGAGTACGTGGCTCCTGGAGAAAATGACCACGTTAATGTCTTAATCAAGTCTTGATTTCAAAGTTCGCAGAGATCCTCGTTGTCACCATCTAATCCAAGCTCAAGCTGGGATGGGATCCTAAATGTGTGCCTGTTCGTGGCAGCTTCTGTCACTGGGCTGCTAACAACAAGCCCATTATGGCTTCTGTAACCACAGGAATTCACCCAGTTCAGTCTTTCAGCAGGGAGAAGATTCTGCACTCTTCTGAAGTGCTCATTCCCTGGCTTTAAGTCACTTTATAGCCAAGGAAAATATTTGCCTTTTTGTTCTGCTTTGCTACAGGTTGGTGAAACAGCTTTGCTAGCTTTGGAGGAGCAGCAAGGCCCCTGCTTGCTCCCTGCCTCCACCAGCAGGTCCCAGAGCTCTTCCCACTGCTGCGTCCCCTCACATCCCCCTCGGGGCAGGATGAGGGAGCACAGGTATCTGTGTGCTATCCACCAGCAGCTGAGGAACTCCCAGTGGCCAGGGGGTTAACTCACCACAACACTTTAACGGCATCCAGACGGCTTCGGATGTCACCCTGCTCTGTCTCCACCACCCACAAGGCCCCAGCCCCATTAATCTGAATTACACAGCTGTGAGTAATGGCCAATAAAACGCTCAGCAGCCACTGAACCCAAAAGTCTGGCTCAGTGCTCGGGACTCCTCGCGTTTGCCCGTCTCGGAGAAGAAACCAGAAGACCCCAGATCCGCTGCAGCTGAGGCCCCGCGTTATTTACATTGGGCCGGCTCCCTCAGCAGCAGGATCCCGTGCACTGCTGGCCATAAATTTCCATCATAATCATTTTGGTTTTGCTTTCCGCAGCCTGGTCCCTCTCTGCGGAGCAGCAGTTTATCCTGCTCATAAACAAGCTCAGAGGAGGGGCTGCGGGGACGAGGCCCAGAGACAGCAGCACAGCCACCCAGCTGCAGCCTCCTCCCGTGGGAATCTCAGGGGGGTCGCTTCTTGTCTTAACCTAACGGCTTTGACAATCCCCAGCAAGAGTTTGTGTGGGTTTCTCCACAGAAATCCCCTTTTGGGAATGAGAAGCTGCCTCTGTCCTGCAGAGTTCAGCCGGTCAGGATTGATGCATGTGGATGGTCGCACTGAACATGCGAACAGACTCACACCACCTCTGTCTTACATGCTAAGAAACACTACTGACATTTTCCTCGTACCATCATGGTGTAACATAGGAAAAAAACCAACTCCCTTACTGCAGACGTTGCTTGCACAGCTCCTGCCCACACCACGCTGGGTCCCACCTCCGACTGGCGTCGCTCACCCACAAACATTACAAACACACCAGTAAATAAAAAATAAAGCCACCATAAAGGATGCTCAGACAAAGCTGCTACCACATCACCCACGCCAACCCCGTGCCCTGCTCCAGCAGCACCAGCAGCCCGTGCCACGTGGAAGGAAGCCGGCGCCCTACCTGCCGCTCCGACATGACGTAGAGGTACTTGTGGTCGACGGAGAAGGCCATGTCTCGCAGCACTGGGCTCCCGTCCTTGAACACTGTCACCATCTCGTACTGAATTCCACCGTGGGGAGGACCATCTGCTCGGATCTGGAAGAAGCACAAATGATTACAGGTGATTTCACGGCGGCCAAATGCAGATTTTGGTTTGGGGGTGGAGGGTGAAGGGAAGAGGATGAGGTAAGGAGAGGGAGCTCATTCCAAATCTCAGCTTGCGACCTGGAGGCAGAGCAAAGAGCTGGCAGGCAGCACGCACAGGAGCTGTAGGAGAGGTTCCTGTCATTTCCCCAGCCCCTGAGAAGGAAGGATAAATATTTCTGCCACGAGGTGAGCTTACAGGCTGTCCTTGTGCCATGACTGATCACAGGCATCCAAGAGCAACAGTGACTGCAAGGCAAGCTTTTTATGCCCTCCCCAAACCAAACGACTGCAGGACTCCACAGGCAGCACAACTGGGCCAAATTACCACACAGGTGGTTTCTTTTTTCTCCAGGCGCACCAGGAATGACGCTCAGACAACCACCAGTGCCTCTGGCTGCCACGGGAGCTTCCTCAAACCCCATCTCTTAACGCCTGGTAGCTGCTGCCGCCGTCCTGCTCCTTCCGAGCACGCAGGACTCGGCAAGGAGCAAGCAGCCCAGCCTCAGTGCTGAGCGAGCAGGGAGCTATCACAGCAGCCATATGGCTCGCTCACTCCGATGGGCTCCAAGTACCAAACCACCCCACGGAAACACCGCTCCCTGCTCCTGCAGGGAAACAGCCCGAGCTGCGACAAATCCCAGCGCTGAGCGGCTGCTGCTGAGATCGTGCCATCTCTTCCAAAAGTTAATAATTCATGGCCTGGGGAGCTGCGCGAGGGGAAGGGAGGAGGATAAACAAACAATTTACATTGTCTTTCCTACCAGGATTTGCATATTTGAAGAGCCATTTGATTGCAACACGGTGTCTACATCGCTGCACACGCCGCAGGGGGAGGCGTGAGCAGCCGCGTGCCCGGGCGGGTGCAGCCACCGGTGGCCCCACGCTGTGGGGGGACACACGCTGGGGACCCCCAGTCCCCAAACAGCCTCCGTCCCAGAGGTGCCACCTGCTGAAGCTTTGCTCCAGGCTGCTGTGCCGGGTCCCCTCGTGCTCTCGGTTACTCGTGCCTGGCTGCTGCACGGAGGCAGAGGCGCGAGGAAGCTTTGGCTAAGTCAGAGCTGGGTACGCAGATGCAGCTCATTTCTGGATTTCTCTCCTTCCTCACTACCTTCCAATCTGATTTTTTTGTGGTACACAAGAAGAGTAACAGGAGGTCTGGCTTGACACCCATGGCCAGATCCAGGGAGCCTCCGGCAGGGTTAAGCCGCCAGCCCAAGACTGCCTCAAAAGCCCTGAAATTTCAGATGGGAAAATGCAAACAGGGTCAGATCCTGCTTTAGTTACACCTGTGCCAGTCAGACACCTCGCAATCCCGCACCTGCCTGTGCTGAGGACGTGGGGACACCACGGAGTCACCCGAGGAATGAGCAGCAGGGACAAGCTGTCAGGGACACAGCTGCTGCCACGCAACCCCCTGGTTATTGCCAGACAGGAATGGAAACGCCGGACACGAAGGATCAGCAGCCTTTGTAAAAAACAACTGTTTTCCACAGTTCCCTCGGGGGCACCGGCAGCTCGTTAAATTGAGCTTCTTCCTAGTAATGAGGTCAGACAGGGCTAATAAAGAGAGATACCACCGGACAAGCCTCGTGCAGGCCAATTCCAACTGGGAATTGAGGCTTTGGGCTGGAGGCAGGAGGATGTCCAGGTGAGCTGGCCCCACGCGGGGAGCCCGGCTGGGTGCAGGATGCCCCTTCCCATAGCCTGGCACCCACAGCTGACCCTGTTACAGCACGTCCTGCTGGCCATAGGGGCTCTGGTGCTCTACATGGGGCTGTGAGCCCGGTGTCTCCACTGTGCCCCCCGCCCCGTGCCCGGTGAGACGGGGATGAGATGCGCCCGCTGATGCCCGGGTGCTCCACTGCCTGGCTTCCTGAGGGCTCGGTTTCCATGCCAACAGATGATGATGTCAGACGGGAAGAATGATGATTCCTGCGAGTGAGGAAGAAGAAAGGGATCATCTCCGCAGCAGGAAGCTTCTGGTTGATGTTTGGAGAGAGAAATGATTCCCCTGCCCAGCTCACAGGTGTGCTTCCAGCACCAGGCAGGAGCGCATCCAAACACGGTGCCACGGACACCGGGAAGACGAGGGGGAAAGCTCGAGACAGACCCAAAAGGTGATCTTTGTTAAGGGTTTGGGGCTCTGGGGGAGCCTTCCCACCTCTGGCTGTGTGGGGTGGCGGTGCCCACCCGGCCTCTCCCAGCTGCTTGACCCCTGCCCTGCGGCAGGGCAGCGGTGCAGGCCAAGCTGTGCAAAAAAAACACCCCACGTGCCGAGGCAGAGAGCGTTTCAGTTCAGGAACCCACCGTCCTTCCACAGCACCGCACAGACGTCGGCCTTTAATACCCCCACAATACAGGCAGCGCGCATAAGCTCTGCATTATCTTAGGAGATTAGCAAAATACCACATTGTGCCGTGGATCTGTAGCAGGGGAGCACCCCCGGTGATAAGGGTACGAGCTGTTCAAGGCTGTGGCGTGGAGCTGCAGCGCGTGCCTTGTGCTGAAGTTTCAGTTCTTTATTTCGCCCGGCCTGCACCAGAACTAGAAAACATTTGGATTCCGTTCCAGGTCCTCCCAGCAGGCTCCCATTAGAAGACATTGAATCTCTTTGTAGGAACTTTCCATGATTAAATTACCTGTCTGCTTTCATTATTAGTGTTTCAATGAGGGTGGCTCTCGTGATGAAACACTCGGTGCCAGAAAAACAGCTCGATAAGTCCCTGCCTGCAGGGACTGATTCCCCAGCCCAGATGCAAGGTCACCCGTCACCTCCCTAAGCCTCAGGACGTCCCCACGGACACAGGCACCCGACGGGGAGCGGATCCCAAAGCACTGCAGTGCTGCTGCCCTGGGGGAACCTCACCAAACGTGCTGGGTGGGCACCCGAGGTGCTGCCCCTCACCACGCAGCACCAGGCGTCGGCTGCACGCGCTTCCCTTCGCCTTTTTGTACCGAACGGTGACAAAGCGAGAAGCCCAGCCAACCCTGCAGCCTTCAGACTGCTCCTTTCGTGCTAGGATTTCTCGCCCTCCAGGGCAAACACCATCAAATAGCGTTGTGTTTGTGTAAAATGGACGTTCCTAGTAGAGGCGTCGGGAATGCGCACTGGAGCGTTGCTGCATCTCCTGCCTGAAATAGAAACTGGAGGCAACAGCAACAGCCCTCGCTACCGAGGTGCATCTCTGCAGAATTGCCACGTTTTTTGCCGTTTAAGGCTGCACGTTTCAGCTCTTGGGCATTTCCCATTAAAGCTCCCTATAAAGCTCTAGGATGGATTTCTTGCTTCAGTGCTGGAAATTTAGCAGAAAGACTGTCGCTGGCAGCAGGCTTCTGAGGCAGGCTGGAGCACAGCACAGCTTGGACAGCCTTCACCTTCCTCCTTCTGTCCCTGGTTCTGTGGGGTTTTTCCTGCCTCGACCTGGCACTGAAGGAAGTTTCCACAAGCGAGAGACTCAGGAGAGCAAAAGCTCCCCAAAGACAGGACAAGATAAATAAATATCAGTCCAGATTTTCTGTGCGCGCCTCCACCAAATAATCTTTGCAGAAGGGATTTACATTTACTAATCCAATTTAATTAAACGAGGCTATTCCACGAGCACATCAAACCGAACAGGAGGCGAGATGCAGAGGCTGATCAGCCCCTTTTGCTCTCCCCCCCGTACACATTTCCCCGCAGCATCATCACATCACACGCAGCCCATGCTGCTGCCCGCGCCTTGCTGGTCCTGCATCGTCTGCCTCTGACACCCACTGAGAAAAAAGCACAGCAGTCTCCAGGAGGGGAGAACACGGAACAGAAATTGAAAATCTCTAGACAAGAAGCTTCCAAGAGCCCTTCAGGCCCTCTGTGAAATTCTTCTGTGCGTAAAGTACCTCTCGAATTCCCCCTGAGCACCGCTGACATCAGGTAGTGGTGGGATGCTCCGGGGAGCTGGGTCGGAGCCATTTGCAGGTCATTAATAAACCAGAGGGAAGCTGAGCGATTTGCTGGGCATGGAATGGTGAGGCCATGGTGGATTTGGGATCCGAATCTGCTAATGCAGGTGTGGGGGGGGTCCTGGGCACCCCCACCACGTTCCCATCTACGGGAGGAGAAACCCAGCGCCGAGGAGCCGACCTGCCCCGCACGCACCTCCTGCTCGCAGGAACAGCAGCAGCGTGATTTAGCTCCCTGCTCTCCACTTGGGAAGTCTCCCCCTTGAAATTAAAGTGAAATAGTAATCCCATTAAGTATCTTTCCTTAAATCACGGGTATGTCCGTGAGGAAGTTAATGACAGCCCTTACATGCACGTTCCAGTTAAATCAGCATATCCAATTAACTTCATTACCTGGAGGCCCTCTCACATCCCAGTCTCTTTCTCTCCTGTCACATTTTCTTTATGCATTTTTCCCAGATTAGGATAGAAGGCATCTGTCTTGGTGGGCATCACCTTTATTTTTACCCCACAGACAGTGCTGGGAAGCCTTGGCAGAGGGGTTCACTCCACAAAGTCACGACGCTGCCAGGCTGCGTGGTTTGTCCCAAAACAGCTCCCCAGGACCAAAACGATCTCGTCTCCCTGGGAGCAGAAAACCCATCCTCTCCAGAGTTACACTGACTAAACATTAATTACACTCACTAATTGCCATTGGGGTGCCCTTACACAACTCCTTAGGATCACCAGGGGAGCTCTGCACGGAGAGCCCTGGCTGTGCACAGGCTTTGCAGGGGCATTGCAACCAAAATATTTTTTTTTTGAGTACTGCCCACCAGTACCACGACCATTCCTTAAATTGACACGAAAAAAGACCTTTCTTACAGAGCCCCAGGCAGTGCCCCAGCCCAGGGCAGCTGTAGTTAGGGGAGGGACAGCGAGCAGGTTGGGTCCCGTGCCCCAAGGGAACAAACCAGCACTATCCAGCAGCCCGGTGGCATCACATCGGCACCTCTTGTACTTGGGGGCAG